AGCGTAAGAAAGACACAGACCTGTTGGAGCGGGTCCAGAAGAGGGCCACGAAAATGATCAGGGGATGGAACACCTCTCCTGTGAAGACAGGCTGAGAGAGTTGGGGCTGTTCAGCCTGGAGAAGAGAAGGCTTCGGGGAGACCTTACTGCAGCCTATCAGTACTTAAAGGGGGCTTACAAAAAAGATGATGGCAAACTTTTTAGTAGGGCCTGTTGCGACAGGACAAGGGGGAATGGCTTTAAACTAAAGGGGGGTAGATACAGACTAGATAGAAGGAAGAAATTTTTTATGCTGAGGGTGGTGAAACACTGGCACAGGTTGCCCAGAGAGGTGGTGGATGGCCCATCCCTGGAAACATTCCAGGTCAGGTTGGACAGGGCTCTGAGCAACCTGATCTAGTTGAAGATGTCCCTGCCCACGGCAGGGTGGTTAGACTAGATGACCTTTAATGGTCCCTCCCAACCCAAACTATTCTATGATTCTATGGTTACTCATACTCCACTTGCTGGTGATTCTAAGTAGACACATTCCCCTGGTGGGTTCATTTCACAGCTTTCATTGGATTCAGCACTTTTAACAGAAACCAATACGTCAGTGGATCTTCTTGCAGCTTTCAGTTCAACCTCTCTAACGCCCAACAAGTATACCAGATACTTACTACTTGTCAATGCAAAAATTGTGATGCATCAGAAACAAATTACAGGAATGGAATAAAACAAAGGCATTTAACATTATGCTACAGAGCTAATTTGCTTTCCTCCACATTCATTTATTCAAAAGGATTCCATTAGATTTCCTTTAATGCTTCCAAAGTCCCACACAATATACATTCACTTTACTGTAGAGTACATTGGGATCTCAGACCAAACCGTCCAGTAGTCCGTCAGTCATGAGTGATCAATGTCATACTTGTTTCAAATAAAATTAAAACTGTAGTTCTCACATAGTGCAGCAAGCATTAACGGAGTTCAGGCTCCCTACATCAGTTTTACTCCAACTCTATAATGAGTGAGGAAAAAAGGAAGATGCTAATACGGATGCAGATTTTAACCTTTCTGAACTCTGCAACAATTCAGATCCAGAATTCCAGTCAAGCTTTTTTGGTACCTCAAGTTTAACCAATTAGCATCCCACTTTCCCCCTGCCCCAAAAATTCACAAATGAGAAAGTAAGGTGAAGGCCATGACAGTTTATTTGGGAAAACTGTACCTGTCTGATAATGTTGTATGTATACATATCACAGCTTAATTTCCTCCTGGACATGTACATGTCATTAATACTAACCTCTTAGAATACTTCAACTGGACGAAAATCAATTTCTGAACAGGTCTTAATACAATCAAATTAATGTAGCATTAATTTGATTGTAGTCTGATCTAATTACTGCAAAGACATTTAATAGAACAGTATCTGGCTTAAGCAAACATAAGCCATGGAACTCAGCTCAAACCTAGCTCATCACTATCCCACATAATTAAATGACATATGGGAAGCTGGAGTATTGCTGGGAATTGCTGTTAGGGGAAGTGGTGGTTTTGGATGTAGAATGAGACACCACGAGGAAGATAAAGAGCAAGTCAGCCCTATGACTATGGTCCTTATTATATGCTCAACCTTGTTGTTTGCAGCACTCTTAACAGCCCGGAAATGGAGTCTTTCCTCACTGATTGTCCTTTCTTTTACAAATACTGGTTTTTTTCTTGCCATTATTCTGTATTTTACTTCTTTGGGTACGTACTAGAAGCACTGCCAAACACAACTTGCGCAAAATAGCAGTCTCCAAGCATTTGGGGATGAATCTTAAAACCAAAACTACATTCTTACATTTATTCCTCTAAAACAGAGGTGTGGGGTTAAGCTACAGAAACTCACATGATCAAGCAAAAGAACCGCACATTTCTGCTGCATAGGTGAGGAATGATTTGTACTTAAATGTAACCGTTGCTTAACTTCCTTTTCCAGGCTTTCATTTGTTTAGGCTATCTTTGATTAATTTAATTAAAAACAAAAAAGTAAACATTTCGCTTTCTTGGAAGGTTTTGTTATTTTGTTTAGGAGAAAAAAGATAGGATAAATAAAAAACCTCTTTCACACTGACCTATAAGAAGGAAACCAATGGGTAAGAAACACAGACTTCAGACTCAATTCAAGGGAAATAAGCCAGAAAACTCTTTAAAAGATAGTGTTTACATATATATAAATGCACCCTGCTTGTCAAAAATATTTATAAAAAAATTAAGACAACTGTTAATTCTTGAGTGTTACAAACATAAAAATGCCACCTGTTTTCCAAGTCAGTTCAGCCAAGAGTTATTTCAGGTCATTTACATTACTGAACATCCCTGAAAACTTGTAACTTAGTAAACTAATGAATCACAGTGGAATTTCAACTCAAACAACTGCCAATGTAGATGCAAGTCTGAAGTTAAACTGAATCAGCAACTGAACAATGAGTAGATCATTTCAAACTTAAAAAAATGTTCCAGCCACGTAGCTTGCATTCATATCCCCTTGATATACATCATTTTTATTAGGCCAGCTCTTCAACTTTCCACTCACAGTAATGCTGTATACTGAAAAAAAAAACAACCTCACTGTATTATTCATTTCAGAAAGAGAATTAAGTGGTGTATTTTTGTATATGTGCTTAACATCTTAGTACATGTAACAAGTAGTCTCTATTTTCAGGGAAAGCGTCAATAGATTTAAGTTCTCCTTTTTGAGCCAACTTTTGTCGTAAGACAGTACTTGCTGTGCAAACTGGATGGCAGCTGATTTTTTTCCAGTCAATGTGAGGTTTCATAATCAGTTCCTGTCATAGGCATCAACCCTTCATTCATTCAATCATAAAAATGTGACTTACTAGAAAAGGAAAAATAGAGTCTAAAGGCACAGAATCACATAGCTGCTCTAGTAGGAGTCTGTAAACAGAGAATTTTTTGAATTTAGGAAATCCAAATCTAGGAAAGTCAAAAGGCATCTGAAGCAGGCTTTTATCTAGCCAACTTCCTTAAAGACCCAAAGGGTTTTCAGGTCTACAAAGTATGCACTAAAATACCGTATTTCAAAAAGCAATAAGGCAAATAGTATACTCATTATTTCAAAAAGTTACAATGGTAATGTAGGCATACACAGTATAACTTAGTTACAATGCGTGGTACTGTTTCTACTACATAGCCCTATAACTGTTTCCTTTCTACATAATCGGAGATTAAACCGGGGTTCCAGGTGAACACAAAACCATCCTTGTACCACCATCTACTGCTGGCAACAGTTCTTCAGCAGCAGCAGCAGCGTTTGCTCCGCTGCCTGGGTCATGTTCATGCTGAGGGAAGTCCACAACTCAAAGTTCAGAGATTAAACACTGTCATACTTGTGAAGAGCTTCTTCTAGCTTTTGTGTCACTTTTTGAAAAAAGAGTATTTGCTGTTGCAAGAAATGCTGCATCTGTGATTTAAAGTCCCTCACACGAATTTTGTGGAAATGATTAATTTCTGCTAGGGTTGCAAAAGAAATAATGTTACAGCGTTCTTGAATGCCCTCAGCCTTTTGGAGCTCCATCTTCCCCTCTTCCACATGCCGCTTACTCTCCTTTACTTTGGTAAGGGCTCCTGTGTAAAGAACAAAACAAAATAGTTGAACTGTGAGGACAATGTAGGCTCACTGTACTTTAACAAGTGATTTAGTAACAACAAGGATTTCTATAAGGCTCATTCTAAATGTATTTATATGCATGCATATATATATATGAGTGAAAAGGAATAAAATAAAAGCTTTCATATAAAAAAAATCACAGAACAGTGAATCGTGTTTAAAAAAAACACAACACTTTAAGGATCTAGCTTGCAAAAGTTAGTTAAACAAGCCTATTTCACAATCTTAAAAATCAGATGGTGTCCTTCAGGAATAATGGATAAATATACCAGTAGTGGGAAAAAATGAAAGCACTAGAAAACTAGTCAGATCTATTTAAGCCTCCATAAACACCAGAAAAATAACCTCATTAAGAAATCGGACTTTGTGAAACATCACTTTTCCCGATCTTTGTGAAGTGTGAAAAGGAGATCTGAATGCACAAAACCTTGACAATACACCATTCTGCTTTTACACTACAGATACCCCAAAATTAATTACTGGGTACTAAACAATCTGAAAGTTTATTTCAAAGTTGCAGACATCCAGGTAGACCTAACGCAGTCTTGTAAGAGTTAGAAGAAAAACACAGCAAAAGAATTGACAGTCCTCCTTCTCCAAATAGCTAATTAAAGCACACACATCCTACAAAAATGAAACATCACCCAAAGCAGGCCTACCCAAAGCAGGCTCATATAATGACAGAGTACCAAGATATGTCTTAAGACATTCATTTTCTTGGACTCAATTTCCCATAGAGCAACTTCTTTGCCTTAAATATTACATACATATTTTATGCATATAAGTAAAACCAATCAGACCAATACAGCTTTTATCTTCTCACAAGATGTTAGTGATAGGACATTTTTCACATCCTTTATGATCATGCTTAAGTTACTTGTTCCTTCAACTATTCATAATGTCTTAACTCTCTTTCCTCTCAGATTACACTTCTTACCATACACGTGACTACAGTTCACTGACAGGACTCCCTTTACATTGCCTTGAAGAAATATTTTTCTGTACTCCCTACAGTAACACTAGCCAGCAAGCTAACAGAGAAACCTCTCTGCCTATATATTCCAGGGGGACAACCTCCACTCTATCTGCTGGGGAGCAGGTTTGTCTTCTTGGAAGCCTGAATCCATGCATGTAGTAAACACCATTAAACAGTAAAAAAGCAGTTCATCAGCAGTAATACTATCTTCCGTCCTTTCCTTCCTGTGCCTGTTTAACAAGCCATTTTGAATGTGCCTCCCCCCAGCGCCCTGAGACATCTCTGCAATTCAGGTCTGGAGCATGACCTTCTGCACGGACGCGTCTGGGTCTGCTGCACACACAGCGGGTTGGGAGGCAACTGGGGAGCACGGCCGCTGCTCGCTGCATTTCGTTCAAGCGCTTCTCACGTTCCCCTGCCTGCTGCGGCTCATCCCCTGCCCATCTCCAACTCTCCCAGGCAGTCAGGTAGAATGCAGGATCAAGGTAAGCTCTTACTAGAAGCAAGTTAAAATATCAGATGATTTGGCAGACTTGGGGAAAAAGAGTTTGTTGCATTTTTGAAATAAAATGGGGGTTGTGTCTTGCATTGTAAATAAAATCTGGAATTCCTAAAATCAGAGAAGCGTGCATGACTTTTCTCCATTCAGCTTCTAACAACAACTCGTTAACTGTTGCGGGGGATGCTTTTAATTGCAAACACTCAGAAAATACTTCCTCTGTTATCTCTTAAATCTCTACTTCTCTACTCTTAAAATCATATTTTTCTGCTTAATCTGCATTTAGGCTGCGCTGTACGTGGCATCTCCTGTCTGCAGCCCTCCTATGAGCTCTCAGTCGCGAGCATAAGTAATTCCCCTCCGGTGTGATGTACCTGCAGAAAGACCATATGAAAGATTTTACTTTTCGTTTTTAAACTGTGGCAGAGAGGTTAATAAGGTAAGCATAGACCACAGGCTGCATGGCCGAGGATGCCGGAATTCGAGTGGCAGAGGCGACGCTCTGAACCTGGTGTGCCAAAGAGCTGTCCGAAGGCCAAGGGCAGCAGCTCTCCTGGGGGCTGCGAGGTGGTGGCAGGGCTTCACACCTTCCTGGCCCCCACAGCATGCCGGTGCGGTGGCTGAAAGCTTGGCACTGGCTGCTTCAGCTGATTGACCTCATCATCTCCAGCCTGGCCCAAATAAACACCACCAAAAAACCTTTTCCACATGCAGTGGTGCCAGCAGTGGGACTGTGCCAGAAGATCTGTATTTTCTCCTCTAAGGAGTGAGGAATCTGTGAGGTAGGGCATGATCTGAAAAATATTTAATCCCCTCTTCTGCAAAAAGGACTCTTCTTTCAACAAACAAAACCAGGCTTAGCAGAAATTTTCTCTGTGTTCTGTGGGCATGGCAGGAATCCATGCATGGCTGTGAAAAACTGAAATTTGGGACTTATTGGAAGCCAGATGGAGCTGGTTAAACAAACATGACAACTCTTCGGTTGTGATGTGGGAAACAGCTTTAGATGTTATTTCTAGAATGACCAAACCGGAAGAAAAATACTGAAATTTACAGCATCAGCAACTGAAAGCATAACTAAGTTCTGGATCATGCATAATCTTCAAATTATTTTACATCAATAAAAACCGTACATCACCAAACACTAAACCTCTCCAGACTAGACATATTATGCATTATACATTTTTTGCCATTAAAAAAAGAAATAAAGATTTATAATTAGGGAAAGGAATCAGAGGGGAAAACTTGCAACCATTAATACTGCTCTCTTAATGCATATGGATTCATACTGGTCCTACAGTGGAACTTCCTTTAAAACCTAGGCAGACCACAACCAGAGGTCAGCAATGTGTGACAAGAGCTTATATATATGCTTAAGCACAAACTTGCTTGTTTTTTTTGAAGTGCCTCTAAATGAAGTGTTTAATTGTTAACAATCTTAAAATAACTTAATAAAGGAAAAATTTTAGCTTATTAGGACAAAGAACCTTCCCCAAACACACAGAAATAAAGTCCATGTACTTTACTTTAAGAAGCAAATGATCATTTGTTCTAAAATGTCATTTTTGATTTGTTCAGCATCTACTAAAGTTTGCAAGACTTAGTTTAGTAAATCTTAGAAAAAAGTGTTGTTAGTTTGCATGGCTTTGCAAGCAGCTTTACTAACAATATAACACATTTCATCCCAAGTTTTCTCCAAACACTTCTCCACAGCCTACAGCCCTGGTATTTGAATCTACACGAGCAAAACTCTGAGATGGAGCAGAGATTCATTGATGTCGAGGGTGCAATGATCCATGCAGGTTACTAATGGGGAAAGGGGGGGAGGAGGACAGGGTGAGGGAATTGGGGAGCAGAGAGCAGCCCCTTGTGTGCATCCCTGCTTGAAAACAAGGGTCTTGCTCAGAGATGCCCAAGTAGGGGACAGGTCCTACGGTAACCTCTAATGCCTCCTCACAACTCCTAACCCGTCCCACCCCAGGCCGTACACCATGAACACCCCCACCTCCATCCTCACTAATCTATCCATCGCCCTCAGCACCTAATCCAGCACCTCCCAGCTCCTGCTGCCGCCCTCACAGGCTGTTGAGGCTGAGCAAGTCCCCTCTGGCATAAGTACACCTGCAGAAACATCTCTTGTTTTTTTGAATTTAATGATGTGAACATCTAGCATTGGTTTGGACAATCCAAAAAAGCAAGACGTATTTAAACAACAAAAGCAGAATTATGGCAGCCCTAGAAAAGGCTAACACGCATTTTAGGGAAAAGAAACAGCAGCCTGTTTCAGAGAAACAGAACAGCAATCTCCTAATGCATATT